ACAAGCAACTCTCTTCTAACATTAGGAAACCTTGTGTCTTAAAAAGGCAGGTCCCTAAGCTAATACAGTTAAGACTGATAAAACTCTAGTGTGGAAATTGGACCATTCTTTTGACATGTGTGTCTTCCAGAGACAGCAGAAAACAAAAATTTTGTTCTCTCTTGACAAGCTATTTCTGTAATTGTTTGGAAATTCAGTGTAAAATCTACCTAGTGATAACCTTGTGTCTTAAAAAGGCAGGTCCCTAAGCCAATACAGTTAAGACTGATAAAACTCTAGTGTGGAAATTGGACCATTCTTTTGACATGTGAGTCTTCCAGAGACAGCAGAATTGTTTGAAAATTCAGTGTAAAATCTACCTAGTGATTTAAATTTAAAAGCTCAGATGGCTTATTTGTAGTAAAGGCACATAAGTGCTGGAATTCAGGGCATGGGGGTGCTGTGGCACCCCCTGGTTTGAAGTGGTTTCCATTATATGCAGGGTTTCCAGTTTGGTTCAAAAGCTCTCAGTACCCATTCTATAAAAATTGTTCCAGCACCCCTGTAAATGCAAATGAAAAGAAATGTTTTCTAAGTAAAAGGAATGTACTAGTGTCGGGCGGCGCACAGCTGGGGTCTACCTATCCCCCCCTTGGTCCCGCCTCCCTTTTCCTCTTGCTCCCCTCCCCCCCCCCGGGCAGGTAGGTGGAAGGGACACGGGGAGGGTCCAGCTCCCCCTCCCAACACCACCCGGTCCCTGGGGTGTGCGGGTTATTTCACCAACCCTTTGACGCGCGCCCCTGCCTAGCAGGACTCTATCCACGGGGCTCTCTAGGGGGCACACCCCTCTGGTTCAAGGGTCCCTCCCAGTGTCCCAGATGGGCCGCCACCCTCGCCGCAGCCCTGCAATGTCACTTTGCCCCTTTCTGTTGTCCCTTTGTGCGCAGGCGGGGGAAAGGGAGAGGGTAGGGGGACCCGGGCCCACCCTCACCTCCTGGCCCCAACCCAGGGCCCTAGGGGGGCGGCGAACACTGACCCTTTAAGGCTGGTGCGGGATTCCGCTCCACAAGTC